CAGGACCTCTGGAAGAGCAGTCAGTGCTCTTAACCTCTGCGCCATCTCTTCAGCCCCTGCACACACCTTTTATCCCAGCACTCAGGAGGCAGAGGCAGGCAGATCTCTGTGAGTTCGAGGCCAGCCTGGTCTACAAAGTGAGTTCCAGGACAGACTCTCCAAAGCTACACAGAAAAACCCTGTCTTGAAAAACCAAAAACAAATAAATATTTTAAAAAAGAATGTAGGAGGATGTCATTTTATTACTTAGTAGAAAAACTCCTTAAACTTTCTGGGTTTAGTGACCGAAGAATGTTATAAAGATCCGGTGTACTACAAATTTGATATAGCTAACAGAACATAGATTGATGGGATACCAGGATGATACATATGTATCTCTGGTATGTGGTGTTTGAGGAGGAGCTGTTCTTGGGTATGTGGTCATACACAGTCTAATAACCATAAGAGGACAGCAGTTCCAAAGTTAATTATAATTCTAAGCAAGTGAGTTGTTAGGCCTGAATCTTTTCTTTGTAATGTGCTAATCCCTATTTTACCACTGCAGCATTAAACTGCAAATAGTTTTTATTACTAATATCATTTTAATTTTTCTAGATAAATGTAGTATTGAAAGAAGATTATCAGCACTGTGCTGTAGCACTGCAGCTCTGTGAACAGCAGACTTGCTTGTCTGTGGACCAGCTTGGAGACAGGAGGTGGCACATTTGGGATTACAGTTTGGTTCTGTCACCCGCCCCAGGAAACCATGGTGGCTATCAAAGAACAAGCAGCAATTTAAGAAGGAAATACAATATGAAACTACGTTTGTAGAAAACCTGCCTTATTGGAGAAGTCACGCCCCTTTTCCTTTTTCTTTATAGAAGCAGAAGCAAAAGAGCATCCACACATTGAACCTGGCAAATAAATGTACCTTAGAACTAGAATCATAAGTACAGTTATTCTTGTGGATAATTAAACAGGAGACAAAGTGAGTGACACTTCACTCAACTCTCTGAATAGTACATGAAATTCCATGTTTTGCTAAAGCATATACAAGCAAAGAGTCTACAGCTCATCCAGACAATTTGGGATTTGGGGTAAGTTTGTCTGAATCTGAGCATGCATCTTTAAACAGCTCAGGAGGAAGAAGCAAAAGGTGACTCTTGGATTAATTGTGAAATCTTCAACTTGATCTCATATGGACATCTGTTAATCTTCCAAAATTTTCATATTGCACTAATTTATTAAAATACCTGTGTATTGGATTTTGCAATTTAAAACTAACTGAGGCACAATGGACTTGTTTAGAATATTTTACTTGATTATATACATAGGCCCTTTTCAGAATTCACATGTATTCTCCATTGAACTTTTAATGGTCGAAACTTGCATTCATGTGAACCTTTGCATTTTTCTTACCTGTAATCTTCACCAACAGATCTTCTCAGTGGTATTTTGAGTTGCTGGTTGTTTGCATTTTTTGTTGTGCATGCAGAATGTGCATTGATACCTGTGACCTTAGGTTTATTAAAGGCTAAGATTATTTGGGCAGTATTAGAAAGTTATCATGAATCAAGAGATACTCTTGAGAATTTTAATAGGGCCAAATCAAAGTGATGAATAAAGGCTTGTTAGTGATGTAGAGTTTCTACAAGAAATTAGAAAGAAGTGAGGTTTGTTTATTCTTAGAAAAATGGGCAGCTCTCTCCAAACTAATGTGCACTTTTCAGTGTTAATCCTGACAATTCACCAAATAGCTAGTCATGGTGAATTAACATCTCTCCAAGAATGGTTCCTATGTTATATATTGTTTAGTTCTTTTACTTACCTGCTTGAATACTTGAATAAAGCATTCACCCGTCTTAACCCTTTTCTTTCAACCCTTTCACATAAGACCTGCTCTCTGACAGCTGCACAGAAGCTCTTTGGCATCGCACTTAACAGAGACAGTGTGGTTTTCATTTACTTGGTGGACAAAGTAATGTAATTTCTACATTATTTATCTGTATGAATTTCCAGTAGTTAATTTGAACTTTATTTATAAGATGTTTGTATTTTTAGGTCTTTACTACAGTGTTTCTACCTCTCATTTGTAACTGCATGCATTATTCTTCAAACTAGGTAAAACTCACTGAATCATTGTGTAATAAATAGCCTTTTTTTAAATTGCTTGTACAAATGTATATTAAGGTTAAATAAAACTGACAGTGTTTTTAGGTTATAGTTGGGTTGATATTAAGTGGCTTGTCAAGCCAGATTCTTCCTTAGAAAGTGGGTCAAAAACTTGGTCATTAATATCTTTTATACTGCACCAGGAGTTATGACTCTTGGTGGCTGTCATGCAGGCTCCTGACAACAGAATATATCCCCTCTTTATATTAGTGATAACATGTTTTAGGTAGCGTTTTTTATGTTTTACACTGAATTCTTTCATGTTCTCTTAATGACCTGTGTTTTCTCAGTTGATTTTCCAACTAAGTAGATTTAGTTGGCTTCTTCTGCCACTTTAAAAACACAATAAGAACAGATTCAGAGAGGGTGAGGTTGGTGTGAAGTCAGGAAGGAGGCAAGTGTTGAAACTACAGTGTCACTCAAGCTCTTCTTACACGACAA